TACTTTTAAACATGCAAGCTAAAAAATCTCAATCATTTAATTAAAATCACTCCATTCATATTAATATTAAAAATAATATCTTAATTTTATATTTTTTATAAATATACATTATAAAATAATATATTTAATATATCTCAACCTCTACTTTTAAACATGCAAGCTAAAAAATCTCAATCAATAATTGTGTTTTATTCTTTCACTTAGGACCTATATAGCTAGACTTCGTCGTTTTACTAAAAATTTTTGGCCCATAGCAAGGCCTGTGCCCAGCCATGTACCAACATGTTCTGCCCGTGACTATAAGTAGTCAAGGATCTCTTGAGATAGATGCCCGGGTCAACAAAAGGGCCAACTGGTTCTGCCATTGACAGTGAGTAGTCAAGGATTCTCTATCTTTCGAATTAAGTGCCCGGGCGACCATGGGCCAACATGTTCTGCCATTGACCATAAATAGTCAAGGATTCTCTATCTTTCGAATTAAGTGCCCGGGCCGATCATGGGCCAAAATGTTCTGCCATTGACCATAAGTAGTCAAGAATTTTATGAGCATTCGGTAAATTTTTAAGAGTTTTAATTTTTTAATATTATTTATATTTTATAAATTTAATTTTTTTTAAATTTTAAAATTTTAAATATTTTTTTAATTTTAAAAAAATTTTAAATAATAAAAACTCAAAAGTTTCACATTTAAATTTTTTATAAATTTTTTTTATTTATTTTTCACTCAATTTTTTATCTTTAAAAATAATTTTTAAAATTTTTTTTTAATAAAAATTTAAATTTATTACTTATAACAGCATTAAAAAAACTAAAGTTCCTACGTGTTAAACCAAACATGCCTTATATTTTTTTAATTAAGTGCTCGAACCAACCATGGACCAACATGTTCTGCCATTGACCATAAGTAGTCAAGGTTCTCTATCTTTCGAATTGAGTGCCTATTTATACATGCATAACATCAATCATCAGAGTTCATACATCATATCCCAAAAAAGCTGGAAAGACTTGTGCCCAAACCATGTTATCAACTCGCATCCACCCACAAACAGCAATGTTTGGAAGGTGTGTCCAGAAATTGTCTAATAATAGATTATCAATTATGATCATTATTTTGATTCATGTTTTGAGGTTGCTGGGTATATGCATGTGTATAAACAGTGAGAAGGCAGCACCACCACCACCATTAATTGTTCATTCACGACCAGCGCCATCAAGTGCACTACCACCGCCATGTTCACCATTAATTGCCCCAACACCACCACCGCGATCAATTGCACCACCACCACCATCAGTTGCACCACCACCGCTATGTTCACCATTAATTACTCCAACACCACCAGTGCGATCAATCTCACCACCACCGCCATGTTCACCATTAATTGCCCCAACACCACCAACGCGATCAATTGCACCACCAGCACGATCAATTGCACCACCACCGCCATGTTCACCATTAGTTGCCCCAACATCACCACCGCCATCAATTGCACCACCACCGCCATCAAATGCACTGCCATCGCCATGTTCACCATTAATTGCCTCAACACCACCACCGCCATCGATCGCACCACCACCGCCGCCATCAATTGTGCCACCGCAGCCATCAATGGCACCACCACTGCCAATGGCACCACCACCACCGCCATCACCATCAATTGCACCACCACTGCCACCAACTTCACCACCGCCGCCACGATGTTCACCATTAATTGCCCCAACGCCACCACCGCCGCCATCAATGGCACCACCACCACCGCCATCAATCGCGCCACCACCGCCATTAATTGCACCACCACTGCCACCAACATCACCACCGCCATCAATTGCACCACCACCACCATCAAATGCACTGCCATCGCCATGTTCACCATTAATTGCCCCAACACCACCACCGCCATCGATCACACCACCACCACCGCCGCCATCAATTGTGCCACTGCCGCCATCAATGGCACCACCACCGCCGCCATCAATAGTGCCACCGTCGCCATCAATGGCACCACCACTGCCATCAATCGAGCCACCACCGCCATCAACTGCACCACCACTGCCACCAACTTCAACACCGCCGCCACCAATTGCACTGCCTCCAGCGCCACCAACTGCACCACCACTGTCACCGCCACCAACTGCACAGCCTCCAACGCCACCAACTGCACCGCCTCCAGCGCCACCAACTGCACCACCACCGCCACCAACTGCACCGCCTCCAGCGCCACCAACTGCACCGCCGCCAGCGCCACCAACTGCATCGCCACCAGTGCCACCAACTGCATCGTCGCCAGTGCCACCAACTGCATCGTCGCCAGTGCCACCAACTGCACCACCACCGCCACCAACTGCACTACCTCCAGCGCCACCAACTGCACCACCACCGTCGCCGCCACCAACTGCACCGCCTGCAGCGCCACCAACTGCACCGCTGCGAACTGCACCACCACGGCCGCCAACGCCACCAACTGCACCACCACCGCCACCAACTGCACCAGCACTGCCACCAATTGCACCAGCACTGCCACCAATTGCACTACCACAGCAATCAATTACAGGATCAAAAGTGCTAGACACACCACCACCAGTGATTCCAAACCATGTTTCAGATGTGTGGCGAGCACTGGATGTGAGGGCGATGGTTCTTTTGAGCCTGCTCTTACAAATCGCTCTCTTTGTCTTGGGTAAGCGTAGAAAGCACAGTGTTAGCCTTATCAACAAATTGATTCTCTGGTTAGCCTACCAAGGCAAAGATTTGGTAAGCATTGCTGCTCTTGGTAAGCTTTCTAATTTAGGAGTCAGCATTGATGCTCTTGGCAAGCTTTCTAATTCCAAAGTAGATTGGGTCAACATGATTGCTCTTCAGAGGCAACCCAATCGATCTAATCGTCGGCCTGGGTACAAACAACCAACTAGGCGTTCTAATTGCCAAGAAGACAATGCTTCCTCAAAAAAAATCTCTAATATTTTTGCTTCACTATGGTCTCCATTACTTACACTTGATCTCGGTGGCCCTGACACCATCACTGCCTATTCTTTTCAAGATATCCAGCTCTGGTCCAGACATCTCCTCATCTTAGTTGTCCAATGCTATCTTGCCTTATGTGACATTATTTGGTGAGTGAACCAATCCTTTCTCCCTGTTTTCTCAGTTCCTCTCTATTTTGTTGGAATCAGCAAACACATAGAGAGGATTTTGTGTCTTAAATTCACTAACTCTTTGAAAACAAAGCAGTTCGGCTCTGACCTTAAAAATCCTGGTCTTCAATCTCACCCATTAATAGAAAATCAAGAATCAAAAGAAGTCCTCCTGGGCTATATTTTGTTCGCAGCTATGAGACCGGATGTCAATGATTAGCTCTGTTGTAAGGAGTATCCCCTGTCCTTTAAAGCGAGAATGAGAACCTATCTAAGGGAAAATCAAGTCAAGTCAATTCTGCAAGGCTTGCTTGAAAGTGACGAGCGAAGGAGTGGTAATCATTTGACTCATTTCGACATAGCTGTTGTAGAAGTGGGATTTATATTTGATGTTGTTTACACAAAAGCTCCTTTCATTTATACTTGGAAAGGATGCATCCTGCGCCTCATCAGCTTCACTCTTTCTATTGGAACTCTGTTTTTCTTCATCTTCCGGTTATCATTCGGGGGTTTGATGCTAAACAAAATAGCACCAGATGATGTTTTCATAACAATGTGCATGTTAGTTGAAACTGTTGCACTGGATACTTGCGCTATGCTCTCAAATCTTTGTTCTGATTGGACAGTAATTTTAATGTATGACAACTGTTCGGCATCCAAAATCCTCCAGTATGTCTTGCAATACTTTCCTTGCTTCTTAAGTCTACAGAAGAAGCGGTCAGCTTGGATGGGACAATTTGATTTGTTGGATTATTGCTGGAATTCTAGGATGGTCCGGGTTTCTAGGTTTCTACAAAAGTACTGTAGCGGTGATTTTCTTGAAAATTGTCACAGGTTAAAGCATACCAAGTTTGTGGAAGTTCCAGACCGTTTGAAGCCAAAAGAGCTTTACCAAAGTCGGCTAGATTCCTTCTTCGTCTCAAGTGATTCCTTTGAAGCAACAAGGGGGGAGAGGACGCTTGTTGAACTGGGGGAGAGAATATCTGATATACGTGCTGACCTCGAATGTAGCATCAAAATCCACTTTGATGCTAGCATCATAGTCTGGCACCTGGCCACATGTATTTGTTACCATCAGGATTCCCACAATAATGCTCGCAATGAAGCCATGAAGATCAGCAAATATTTATCAGATTATATGATGTATCTGCTGGTCATGCGGCCTGCTATGCTACTGCCTGACGATTGTAGGAGTTTCTCGTTGGATTCTGCTCTTGATAAGCTCACGGCCCTTACCTC